AACTAAACTGGTGTTGATGTCTTGAATGCACAATAACATGTGGGTTTTCTTCATCCCAATTATGATTATTATGAAAATTGACTGTACCATCCTTAGTAAAACTAGCTTACTAGAGTTTGCTCTGTTTATAAAATTCATTATATCTCATAAATGAAGACAGATAGGACTGATATATTTATATGACTTGTTTTCATTATTTTTAGGCGTACAATCAGCTCCCGAAATGGGTCCCACAAGTTACGAAACACCCTGTATATATTTACGCGAACTTGGCGCGCAATTACATGGAAACGATGTAATAGGACGATGAGAGTTCAAACTTTTACGCGAGCTCTATCTGCGTCGTCGTCGTTCGACGAAAATTCACATCGTCGCCCCTTCGTACGAGAGAACGACGAAGACCCCGGTATCGATACCGATCTCTCGGCGACCCTTTCGAAGTAATCAGTCCAAACACAGTTCAGAAACTCACACCGTGAGTTTCAAACAAAACGCGCACACGTGCTCGTCGCGCGCGAAATAAAAATACTCGGGGATATTGTTTCGCGGGACGGACTCTATCAACAATCTCCAACGATTTTCACGTGAAACGCGAGTTATTTTCACGTGGAACGCTGCCGCTGTACTCTCTTCCTCTCTCTTTCTCTCTGTCTTTGTCTTTTTCCCTTTCTCTGGCCCCTGCCAAACACGTTTCTTCTTCCGCGCCGGGGCCAAAGGGAAAAGAAAAAGTGAAGCTGAGCTAACTCGGTGGCCTTGAATCTTGAAGGATCTCGACCACGATAGAAACGTGTTTCGTTTTCGAGGCACATGTTGCTCGAGCTTGAGGGAAGAAGCGAGAGATTTCTCGCGATGTTCCGCCGGAATCGTATTACGGCCGGAAAGTTCGGAATTCCTTTAACTGAAATTGCGATTAATCAAACTTTTCAACTGTTTGTGCTCGCCGCGGATAATGCCAATTGGCAAGGTGGTTTGCATTCCTGTGGCATATAAATGGCATAACGCTATTTGACGTCATTCGCAGGGAACGTGTATGAATTGGAGAAATGCAAATCGCATTCTAGCGATGGTATTTCATATATGGCGCTTTAAATTGAAGTGACGAAGACCCTGGTAACGTTCGAAAAATCCGACATTGCCAAGTTACTTGTCAATACTAGACTAAATCAAAATGATTAATTTATAATTTTTGTTGGACATTTTGTAGACACGAAGTGCATTCTTAAAAATTTAAATAATTTTTCGTGAAATATATGAATAGAAGATTGTATCATAAAGTTCCTCTATTTGTTTGTCTTCGATGTCTCTGATTGAAACTTTGTGCTTTGATCGTCGATAATTCTAGCGTTAACACAAGCAGATATACAAGAAAGAAAGAGAAAAGGCTAAAATCACGATGTTATATTCATGAAACAAAAATATATATGACAGATTTATAAATAGTGACAGGAACAAGGAAATCTATGCAAATTGGATATGTTCCGCCAGAAAAGTTACGTTTCAGCCGGATGGGAATTTTCAGGCAGTAATTTTATTTATTAAAAATTTCCTCCCCGTGTCTTCCCGGCGGAGAGAAAGACTTTATTCATAAAGGAATTCTTCAAGGGCTAATTGGAGATTCTGGAAAAGATTTTAATCGCGAAAAATTTGTTCAA